AACTAAAGGTGTGGTTTAAAAAAGTACTAAAAACAATGCAAATTCTAGTATTGACAATTACATCCATTTAAACCTGCTTTATATTAGTTTACATCAAAGCTAAACCAGGGTAAACCAGATGTAAACCAATGTTAAATGTCTCACACACAAAAGGTCCAATCTACACTAGGAAATTTACCTGCATACTTACACCATTATAATTATTAGTGTGGATGCAAACAAAAAAAATCCAGTTTAGTATTGATGTTAGGAATTATATGAGTAACTATAGTGGGTGGGCCATTATTATAATCCTGGTAAATATCCCTAGTAACAACCTGTCTAATTTAAAATGGTTTAAAAACTACTCCTTTAGTTAAAGTAATACAATATTGGGTGTGGTCCAGGCCCAACTGGCATTGCTAAGTTTTTTAGAAGAGTTTGTAGCATGGCAATGTATAACTAATTCCATACTTTCCATTCAATATTTCAATTTCTAACTGGTTTAATTATTTGATGCTGATGTGTCAGCCAATCATATTCTATTGAAAGCAACATGTTAAAATATCTATCTAGTAAAAGCGACGAGGAGTCCTGTGGCACCTTATAGACTAACATTTATTGGAGCATAAGCTTCCGTGGGCAAAGATCCACTTTGTCAAATGCTCCAATAAATCTGTTAGTCTATAAGGTGCCACAGGACTCCTCATTGCTTTTGCAGATTCAGACTAACACGGCTCTGATACTATCTATTTAGGGACTTCCATCTTGGCACAAACACTTCCACTGCAGTAAAGATATTAATGTTTGATTTGTAAGTTACATGGGACCAAATTTACCTCATGGCTTTCTTTGTCAAAACTTGATGGGCATGGGAAGTTGTCAATGTCATGTAAGAGTTTACCTTTTGAAATAATTGCACATGGGGGAGTAATGCATGCAGGGAAGATTGAGATAGTCTACAATGAAATCCTGGGGGGATTAAGGATGGGTCCCTGGGAAAGGTGCAGAGGAGTGGAGCTTCAGGTGGAAGGGACAGAGCTGGGACCAGCAAGCCTACAGCACTACACAGCCCCTAGTGCCACACAGGGCTCAAATGGAGATTTAAATGGCCTGAGGTGCCGGACTCTACTGCAATGGTGTCTACGGAAGCTGGGAGCCCCCGACCTTTTTAAACTGCTGGGCCCCAGGGAAACTGTCTTTTCCAAAGCAACAGAAGGTATGGAAGGATCCCGAGGGGACCCGGAATGATCATCTAGGGAGTGAGCAAAGTACCTGGGGCAGTATCCAGGGGGTGAGTGAAGGAGAAAAACAGGGGAATGCTAGCTAGGTGTTTCTGCCTTCTGTACATGCAACTTGCTATTGTCCACATGCTGCTGTTCACCACCACCTAGCTAATCAATAGCTCACCACACACCAAACAAGGATGAGCTCCACAGACACAAATTTAACTATGACTGTATAGATAAGTTAAGCTTGTATAGGAGTGTAAATTAGGTCAAATGAATGAGTGTGCTGTGTATGCTGTAATAGACTCTACCTGCATGACAATCTAGTTTTCTATGTGTGGGCACTGTTTCTGTAGTTTCCTGTAAACATTCAGGTTGCTCCCACAGTGGAAAGTATTGCTCTGTGCTGAAAAGTGGCAGCACCTGTAGGACCCATCCTTGTTCAGTCACCATGTAATGGCTTAGTTTGGAACTATTGCCTAAAATAAAATCTAACAGTTTTGAGGTAGGTTAAATTGGGAATCCAAAGTGTGGGATTAGTTTGACTGTTCCCATGGAGGTCAAGTTAAACTCCCAATGAGTTCAACAGGAGAAGAATATGGCCAACTGTGGGCACTTCTACAAATCCCACTCAGACCTTGAAATAATCCCCATTTTAAACCTGAAACTCTTCGATTTAGAATTAAGCAGATATCAGCAAGCCACTATTTAAGACCGATTTTCATATAAATTAGATGAATTCAACTATCTAGACCTGAAATACTTAACTTGAGAAACAATAATTGAACCTAGTACCTACTTACCACCATACTTCATAGACAAGTTAAAAGGATCAACTGAAAAGTTTAATTCCTATAATACCCACCAGATCACACAACATCAATTCAATAAGCTTTAATTTGGTGAAAGATACTGCACCAAGGATACTACTACATTTTCAGTGGTGCATCACTCTCAAACCTGAGTCAACATTCAGAAAAAACACCACAAATTCTGTACCATACATTCAACAAAATAATCTTTTCCTCAAGCCTTTTGGGAGAGGAACAGAAATCTATAAATATTCATCTGCCATTATTAATAGCATCTTCTGGCATTAGAATGCTCTTTGGTTTGCTGCTAAAAGGGACAGAGAAAAACACTTCACGAACATCATCCCTGCAAAGTAATGTCCCAATTCTGCAATCTAATCTGGACAAACATTTGACTTCAGTGGGACGCCACACAGCTCAAACATCTTTTCCCTGGACACTCACCTGCAGGTTTGGGACCCAAGTCCAACAGAGCAGACATTCAGAAAGAAATATTGATTTACAAGAACATAAACAGAAGCTTCTTATAGTTGTGTGTTTATGCTATACTTTGTCAAAGCAAGAACATTTGATATTTTGGAAATATCTTTGACTACACACGAGAACAAATGCAGGAGGTGATTTTTTCTTAATTTATTTTTGCAGAAACCTGCAACTTTTTGAGTATGCACTTTCTGAGATACCATACATGCATAACCTCTTAATGCTTTTGTACATTTTCATCTCTTGGTAATAATCCCATTCAAGGCATATACATCTAAAATCTATAGACACCATATTTACAGGATTTTAACAAGATCTTGTCTTGTTTTCATGAAAAAATTCAATAGGGTTTCACACAGTAGGAAATATGGATTGGATACATTGGTGTCACCATAAATAAATTTCAAGAACAACTTTTAAAAAATTCTTTAAGGTTTTGAAAATCCAAAATTATACTATTGCATTAACTCCACCGACCTCTGATTTTTCAAACAATTCAAGAAAAACCTACCTGTATTAATATTCATAGACAAGCAATGAGAATGTCCCAAACTAAAATATATGGCAAGTTTCATCCATGGCCAACTTTAAATTATATTAACATTTAGAAAGGAAATAAAATAGGTGCAGAACATAGAAGCAATACTGACTTGACCGCAAGACACATTGTGGGCAAATTCTCTTTATGGGGTAAAGTGTCACAGTAGTATAGCATGTAAATTTTTTAGTTTCAGAGATGCAGTTAAATATCTTCAAATCAAACTGTCCTTCTTGAACTATGAAAGCCATTTCACATTCTTGGGTATACAAATGAATATTAAAAAAGATCAAGATGACATTTCATTTCTAACTTGTGATATTCTCACATTCTTGTTTTTTAAAAACATTCTTTATTGTTTTCCATTTTGTTTTGTACCAATTTCAGCTCAGATATTTCTGAATTCAGATCAAAGAGTTTTACAATCAATCTTAATGTCAACATGTTACCACAGAAAATTTGAAATGAGATGTATAACTGGGACAGATACAAAAACTGAAAGAAAGCAATAATATAATTTTAAAGAAAACATGATTAAGTAGAACATGATTAGAAAGTACTAAGACTGAGACCAGCTCTTTAAAAATTACTGCACCTTCTCATAACACCTCCCAGTTAACGGAAAACACACACGTATAACAGACACAAATGTGATCTTAGATTATACTTTACAAAGTATTTTCTTAGCACCCACCCACCTCCCTCCCGAACAAGCAAGACTGATGATTACATCACATTTGAAGCATATCCAAGTTTAGGATTTCTTTTGGTTTACTGTACCCTGAAATATTGTTCACAAGTCCCAGTCTGACTAAAACTTGTCAAAAACTTAGTAGAAAGGGATACTCAGATGGTAAATACAAAGTAAGCTTTTATAAATGTTAATTTAGATGAACAAAATCCTTTTGAATACCTGAAGTCAATTATGTTACAACTAAACTGTACTAGTCTAACAACATGGATGAGGGAAAGCTTTGTTATTAAGAATAAGTAGTGCATTAACTCAACACAAATGACATCAGCATCCTCACAGCAACAGACTCAAAGTTTTATACAAACACAGTTCATTTTATATGCCAGTTGACATTAGGGATGTGTGCATTAAATACTACACAAAACCTTTTTGGCATAATCTACATTTCAGTTGGAGTGTTTGCCTGCTTCCAAAAACTAAAACAGAAGATCTAATATTCAAATACAAGCTATGGTCTAATAAACTGAAGATTCGAGTGCCATATGGAGTTATTTTACTGCTAATGTTTGTGCATGGATATTTACAAGTAAATGAATACAACAGATTTTTTTCAATACTTTTTGTACAAACGACGAATGAAAACTGAAAAGTTCAAAAACAAAAAAAAAGTCAGCTTTTGCTCTTAAAATGAACCTACTCATTTGATGGCACACTCTCTCACCCTCCAACAGCATCTCTTCGCAGCTTGCCTCTTGTTTTCTGCGGGCTAGTGAAAGCTATGACAGACTAGAATGTCTAACACCAAAAACCATACATTTAGGATTATCAGAGCTCACAGAATTCAAGGGTTGCATGCATTTTTTTAAATCAAGAACAACTATATGGTCTTAAAACAAAGTGGCAAAACTCTTCTCAAGCATGCTACTGTTACTATCATTTTAGTTGACTTTTTTGCTAATCCAGCAGAAACTAAAGCTGTTAAAATCAACATAAATAGGACTGAAAATTGAAATCATACAAAAGTAATGGTGTTGCTAATCTCTAAAGGAAGAAAAATGTTTCAGCTCATCTGTTTTCCGTACTGTCATTTCAGTGTTTTCAGACTCTTCATTTATACAAGCAGAACTACAAAAATTTAATTTCACTTTTGCCTGGAGACCAGGAATTTTTGCACCGCCCCTTCCCCCCCACCCACAACATGAGCTCCTCAGAGTAGAAAATCACCATCAACTTAAAGAAATTTCAACTGATGCCTTTGACTTAAGTTTGCTTATTAATGCTGCACACTTTAATTGATCAAGCAGACAAATAGATTTTAGGTTATGTTTAACATTTAAGAAGCAAAGAAACATATTTCAGTATCATATCAGATAAAAAGCAGTTCCTGGTCTGAATCAAAAGACAGCAGTTTTTCACTTTTTTTTTTTTTAAACTGCATTGATGGAAGACACCAGAAAGGCAATACAGATAAAACAAATACTCTCCCTTTCAAATGCCATGAAAATGTTGGATTAAACAAAAGTTAAGAGTAAAAATTCAAATTCACTGTACCAGCTTCTTACTGACATTAAGTCAGCCACACAAAATTTCACATCATAATCATTCAGCTGCCCAAACCTAACTTCTGATTTCACAAATAATGACTGCTTTATTACAGCAAACTGAAGCATTTAAACAAAACTGATTATTTTTATAATACAGTATGGTTTTTAGTTTGCAAGTGTTGTATTTGTCATTGTATTGCAAACATTTCCTGACCCCCCACCAAATGCAGCGTGCACCTTCGAGACCTGCCATCTGCTATACTGTACAGGTTGGTTTATTAACAATGTGCAAATAAACCTTTATGAAGAGCTAATATGATTTTTTTTTCAATTAAATCAGAATTGGAGGTACAAAGTACCTTCTGTGCTGTAAACATCATGACTTCTTCACAAAATTGGAAGCTGAAAAGGCCTAAGTAACAGGGTGCAAACACTTCTCATACACAATCATGGCTGAACTCAAATCTTTACAAACAGATTTTGGAACAGTTCTGGCATTTGGCATATGTTCACTATACTGCTACAGAGCAGTCTGAGGAGAACGTTATTGATAAAAGCACACTTTTACTTTTTAGGTTTAATACATGATGGCCTAATAAAAGCATGCAGCAATCTTTTCATCAGTAATATGGTAGAATTAGTTCTTAGATAAATTACCAGTGTCGACACTGGTTGGTGAACACCATACAAACAAAAGGGATTGTAGAATCACCTCCAATTCTACTTTTTGTGTAAGGCTCATACAGTACCTCATTTTCTCATCAGAAGTCACAATCTGAAAACAGCGATTTTTGTTTAGACTTAAATTACCCTGAAAAAAGCAGCAATTACAAATACCGCCCCTCCCCCCGTTCCCCATTTTCTATATGCTGTAGAACCTACAATTGCATTTTCCTGTCTTCTTTATCAGTAGTTTACAATCCAGAAGCACAGGGAGCCTTTGTTTTCCGGCTAGCTGGGACCAGGTAGGTCAGCTATGGCTCTTCAGTTTGTTGGGATACCTGTAACATTTTACATCATTACTAAAAGTTCTATATTTAAAAATTAAGAGCCATCAAGCAGTAACTTTATCCACAGGATTCAACAGCAGCAATTATCTGCTCTCCTGTATACATTCTTCAACAAGTGAATCTTTTCTGGTTTGGGTATTCTTTCTGCTTTGTTCACTGCAAAGGGATAAGAAGAGAATATCCCACCCCCATTTATTTTTTTAGTGCAGTACAGAAGTGGAAACAGTTTCACATTTTTTCTTCCCCCCTTGTAATCTGAAAACAGCTGGCCGTCAAAGCCCTGGCAGATTGACAAAAAGGTTCCCCATTTTCCTTCTCCTATGTCTGTGGGCTCAATCTCATGCAGATTCTTTCCAGATTCACGTATAACGTGGCATTTCACACTGCTCACAGCGGTTTAGTGCGGGGTGGTTTAGAAAGGTGCAGCTATCACAATTCCATGGGGCCCCTTCAAAGTCTTCATCTCTTGGCTGAGTCTGTTTGGAACTGGTATGATGCTCTAAATAAATAAATAAATAAATAAATGCTTTTCAGACAGCCTTTGTAAGAAAGTACACCAAGCAATTTTAGCAAACATTTAGAGAAGGTTAAGATGCTCATCTGCTAGCTAGTACTTCTCAGTTGTATTTTACAGGTATCTAAATGGCACTGTACAACTGGATAAGAATTTGAAATTCAGAATGTATAACACACATACATTATGTATTTATTACCTATTGAGAAGGCAGTCCAAAGCTGATTAGCAGGGAATGACATGAATCTACTCAAAGTAACATATACATGTGACTATGTAGGAGTTTTTACATGTATCAAAAGAAGGGAATTTTCTAGAAAGAGTAGGTCTGAAGACCATCTACCAGTCATTCACCCCCAAAAATAGTCTCCATTGGGCAAGAATCTGACATCCTGCAGGTCATTAATAATGCACTTTTGCTCTCATTTCCAATAAATCAATAGTTCACTGAAACTGCATGCAACTCAAAGCAAAATGTGTTGTAATAATCTACTCTGTTATCTGGAGCATGGTTTGTACAGATATGCCACTAGCGGTGCCTAAAAAGCTACCTTTTAGGAAGAGTTTGATGGCTCTCCCTTCTGTGTTTGTTTTATTTTGTCATTTAACTTCCTATATCCTGAGTGTTTTAGAATATTACAGAGGGAGATACTAACTCCCGAAGCCAGAACATTTTCCCATTTAAATAAAATAAAACGAAAGAAACTTCCAAGATTTTTTTTTTTAAGGTAGGACTCTTTCAAGTAGGTAATTCTTCCCATAAACAAGAAATTATTTACACAAGCCAATACTTTCACACAACTCAATTTACATATCAGCATGTCTTGCATTACTCTTGTAACTTTTCCCAAGAGTCTTCTTTCCATATTTGTTATTTAAGGCCATCAGTAATTCATAGGAAATTTATCAGAGGGGAAAAATGCATTATCCTGCATCCAAAAGGCAACACTGTAGGATGCCTCAGATGAAGATAAATTCCACAAATCTTCCCCTACCAATGCCTTTAATCAGTGATAAATTCCATAGAACTAGCATACAGAAAGCTATAGCAGAAGAATTGTGGAATCTGTGTTCCTCAAAAGAAAAATAAATAAGGCAAGACCCCGTCAAGCAGAAAAGCTTTTACACATTGCTATAAAATGTTTATACACTATTCCTCAAAGCACTGATAGTATAATGCTGCTATGGTCAATTGTGGTACAAAGGAGTGGTGTGTTTCTGTGTGATACTATGCTGTATGGTCAACCATAGAGTATGAGGGAGTAAAGTTTGTGAGAAGATCTGAGAGAGAGTATATTCCCGTGTAATTTACTGATGGCAATATCTCCCTGTATGTGATGCAAGAGCAGTCTGCTCTTCAGAAATGTTTTATAAAGCCAGGGATAAAACGCATCTCTTGCAAAAGGGAAAGGGGACAACTTTTGAATTTAGGCAAGCATCCCAACCTTCTTTCTGTTTGGTGAGAGTTCTGAAGGTGTTCATGTGCTCTCTTTCCAGTAGTGCTCTGGGCATGATCCAGTTTCCAGTGGTGGGAAGCAGCTGAGTGTCAGCAATTGATAAATTTAGGGGTTTTTATGTTCAAGTATTAATTTGTGCCCGAGATCAAATACATTTAGAAATCAAACCTTAGGATTTTAAGTTTATCTGAAAAATCTAAAACCAGGCACATGCTACTTTGTCAGGACATACATGCTGGAGAAAAGAATTCTCAGGTTCTATTTTTTCTTTGAATTAGACATTATCATCCATTTTTCAGAAAATTGGTATTTTGTCCCAAGTTACTTGTAAACTGTTTCATTGTCATCTCTTTGAATTTCTTACAATTACTTAACATGATTTATATCCTTATGTTGGCACTTTCTAAAAAACAGCTCAAGTCTATCAAACTGAAAAGTTCAATGAACTAATTTTTAATATTGCACAGCATTGCCAACAAATAACTATCAAAACTGTTGTGTTGAGTGTTTGTTGTATTATTTCCCAGACAGCACAAACTAATATAGTTTAGATATTGCACAAATCCCATCAGACCCCCTGCCCAAAGTTTTGATTTACAGGCACTACACTAGGATAACTACCCATTTAACATTAAATTGCATACTTTGATTATCGTGGTCTGACAGGTACAGTTCATTAAGATGTGCCCTGTTCCAATGAACATTAATATAATTTCAGTAGCTTAATCCAGCTTCAGTTTCTAGGCACTCAACTTTTCTAGCTAATACATCCTGAAAGAAGAGAAATGATAGAAAAGCAAGTACTGATCAATATCCATTGCTCTCATTTCAGTCAAGTCACAAAAGATAGAGACAATACACATTGTGGAATTGCCTTTCAGGAAAGCAGCACAAGACAGTAAAAAATAGTAATGTTTAGGTGTAATTGGGGTAAATTATTCAACTCTGCCATATCTCGATTCCTGCTAATTCTATACTTTGTTTTTCCTCTCCTTTCCCCACTATACAACTTCTGTTTAAGTGAAAAAGCCATTTACAGGCAGTCCCCGGGTTACGTACAAGATAGGGACTATAGGTTTGTTCTTAAGTTGAATATGTATGTAAGTCGGAACTGGCTCCAGATTCAGCCGCTGCTGCTGAAACTGACCAGGGGCTGACTACAGGAAGCTGGAGGCAGAATTGCTCTGCCCCCAGCTTCCTGGAATCAGCCACTGATCAGTTTCAACAGCGGCTGAATCTCGAGCCTGGGACAGAACAGCTGGGCTGCCAGGTAGGTCGCTGCAGGACCAACCCAGCAGCACCCCAGCTGCTCTACCCCAGGGTCCACAACAAAAGCCTGGTCTGCTGGGGTGGGGGGGGGGCGCACTAGCTGCCCCCCCCCAGCAAACCAGGGACATGGGGAGCAAAGCCGCAGCGGCGGTGGAGTGCCGCGCTGCTGAGGCTTTGCCAGAGCAAAGCCTCAGAGGCGCGGGACCCCTCCGCCTTCCCAGCTTTGCTCCCGGTGCCCCTGGTCTGCTGGGGACCGTCTCCAGCAGACCAGGGACACCTGGAGCGAAGCCGGGGAGGCGGAGGGGTCCCGCGCCTCTGAGGCTTTGCTCTGGCAAAGCCGGGGAG